CCATGGGAACCAGCACGTCCCTGCAGTGCCCAAGTGCTGGCACAGACAACAGGCAGGAGAATGTTCTAGAGGCTGGGAGGGTCAGAGGCAGTTCATGGAGCGGGGAGGCCTTTATTTGGATTGAGAAGGTGAGTAAAGGCAGTGTGACCGAGATTCCTCACCCAGGGTTGATGTGTTCCCTTTAGGAGGTCGATAAACCATCTACAGTTCTACACCGCATTTCATGTGTCTATGTGAGAGTGTGTTGTTATTTTTTTCTACGTAAGGTGTTTGTATCTTTAATGAGAGTCTTAAAGGGATCACGTGACCCAGAGAAGTGTATGCACTACGATTCCTAAGAATTACACCTTTAATCCCTGAGTCTAAAGTTGAGCCACCTCCACTTTCAAAATATCTCAACATTAAACCTCCATCACCACCTCCTCCTCATCGCTGCCCATTACTTCCAAGAACACATCTCCAGTTGAAGGACGAGATATCACAATTAGGAAAAAGTTTTTAAATTTTTGTCTGTCCATTCTTAATAACATGCCATAGAGCCTTCTGTTAGTGACTGGTCTTTTGTGTCATTGGATTATCATAGCATCTGCTTTCAACAATCCCAACTGCTAGGACATGATAGCAAAAAAATGAAAAGCAGCGATTCGCTGCTAAAAGAATAGGATTTTGTGCTGTTCATGTTCCTTCATAAACCTCAGGTGACAGAGATCATCAACACAAAGACACATCAGAGGAATTTGTTCCTAAATGATTCTTGGAAAGAAACGACACGTGCTTTGTTTAACTGGAAAATACTTAAGAAAGTGATTTGGGGTGTTTTTTTTTCTGCTCTTATTTTCCTTCTGTACGTTCCTTCTGTATGTTTCTGTACATTTCTAAATTTTAATGATTTAAACTCAATTAAGTTCTACCACCAGGAAGCAAAGGCAGATATTTTGCACATCTGTAAAATTTCCTTTGAAAGTAACCATTGAAACGTTTATGGGAATTAATCAGAAATATGATTAGAGTACATTTTAAATTTCTAAAGAGCTGTATATGCAGTATCTTCTGCACACATATGATACCATTATGCCTTGGCACGTTATATGATGGTTTTATTAAACACATTTGTAGACGTTAACAAAATAAGCTCATCATAGTTACCTTCTGTTTTTCCTCCAGAGAGACGACCACCGAGTTAGCTGGAAGTCTACCAAGGTAAGCAGGCGCGTTTTACTTACTCTGCACGTGATTTCTGGTGTCCCCAGAAAGAGGTGCTATGTCCTCTTAGAGGGGCCTTCTTCATTATCTCTTCCTCACATCAGATTTTGAGACCTCATATGTCACTCTGTAAATGCCAGACACTGCATGAGTCACATGGAAGTGATGTAACCAAGAAGTAATAAGGGTGATGTCTGTATATGACTTGGAGGAATCATTCTCATCCCTTTGAAGTTCTACCGTGTATCTGGAGATGTGTAGATGAGCTGTATTCTTCACAGAAATCGTCAGTGTAGCTGCTTCCTCTGTCATATTCATGGGACTTGGCAATCTCAAGACACATTAAATTGGGTTTTTTTTTCTTTTGTGTATCCATTATTGTTACTGTGTTCAGAGATTAATGAATTTATAAAAGAATCCTGAGCTTCCTCTAAAGAACTTACATCATAGCTGTCTTGACATTCACTATTATTTTATATTCGTTTCAGACGTATAGCATAGTGGTTAGACATTTATATAATTTACGAAGCGATCCCTTCAGTTAGTCTAATACCCACCTGGCACCATACATAATTATTACAATATTATTGACTGTATTCCCTATGCTGTACTTCACATTCTTGTGACTGTTTTGTAACTACCATAGCAATTTGTACTTCTTAATCCCTTCACCTTTTTCACCCAGCCTCCCAACTCCCCTCCCATCAGGCGACCGTCGGTTTGTTCTCTGTATCTGTGAGTCTATTTCTATTTTGTTTGTTTGTTTATTCTGTTATTTAGATTTGACGATAATCTAGATACATGCATATTTCTTATCGTCGTGGAAATACTTCGTAATATTATCTCACCAGGAAAAGAAATCAATATATAAATTGATCGATGTATTTTATATATTTTTGAGATTTTATGTCTCTGTATGAAATAAGATAGGATAAATAGGATGCAAATTATATACAACTAGCCATCAAAAATGATTACCGCTATTTATTAGTCTGCAGACAGCACCTTACCACCGTGCCTTCCTCTTTGAAGGTGCTCAGTAGCCGTTTGTAACAAATGGACAGGGAATAGGGTATTGGGAACTGTCAGAATGAAAATCAAGAGAATCTTAAGAACAAGAAGTGTGAACAGAATATGATGGTGAACAGCACTAGGGAATAAGAACAGTACATATCGTCACCATCTGTTATAGGAGATGAGCACATTTGGTTGCTTTTTTTATGTAAAGAAAATCTTTGCTTATAGGATCATGATTAATATTTGCCAAAAAACTGTTTACTGTGATCCAAATATTTAAATTACTCCATGTCTTAATGCTTTGGATAACGTCCCAAAGAAATGTTTTAACTGTGTGCTGGTTTGTAGGGTTAAAAGCAGATCTGAGTTCTGGTGCCTGTATCCCCACTGCTTGTTTGTCATTGTGCCTTCCCTCTGGAGAAGGTTCGGTGTGAAAACTGAAGCATCCGGTCATTTTCAGAGAGAGAGTTAGTTGTGTGACTGCCCGTGTTTGTAGTGAAGGAGTCAATCCCAGAATAGTGGAATGAAGAATGACTTCCATACTTTTCTAGAATGGCTAAGAAGAAGACCACACTTGGTTGTCCGATGAGACCCACACGGGGCTGTAGTAGAAATTACTGAGATGTCCGAGAAATCGGGTACGCACCCCGAATTCCACCCAGCCGCACTGCATTGTGACCAGCCAGCGGCACTTCCTGTATTCACTGCGAGGGACCCTCCGTCGTAGCTGGTTTATTGCCCTAGGGAGTCACGCTGTCTTCTTGAGTTTGACGGGAGACATTTTAGTAATGAGCCTACTCACTTTTTCTCATCGATTTTTGTTGTCCAAATGGCGTAACGTCTTGAAAGTCAAAATGGCGACGATGCTGACCTCACTGCGATTCTCAGTCGTTCTAAGGGCATGGCAGTAAGGGTGTGAGAAATAACGTCACTTGCTTCTCAGCTTCTGATGGGGCCTCAGGCACGTGCAGTTTAGGACATAGCTATTGACAGTTGTTTCCCGTCCCCACTTTAACATGGAATCATCTATTTATTTGACCACGGATACCTCTCTTGGCATTCACAGTATTTCTTTTGCTGACACTGGTTCGTTGGTGCAGTCTTGTGGAATTCAATCAGTTATTCAGCTTTCAGTCCTTTTTTAAATTTCTTCAGCGTGTCACAGGGAATGTGCAAATGAGACCTGGAATACCCTGGCGCCATTCAGAGCAGGGCACCTGTAGTTATATTGTTTGTCGGCTAATGATTAGTAGAACGTGACACTGGGCTTTTTATCCTTTTTGTCCTAAAAGCATGCTTATGCTGTGACATCTAGGAAAAACAGAAAATTGCAATTCAGGCAACTGTTAACTAGGGATGTGTGCCTGGGAAGGAAGACAATGGCATTTTATAGCAGTTTTACGCCCTGGTTTTCATTGGTTTTGACTGTCTTGAAATTTTCCGAAAGGCCATTTACAAATATTGCACAAGGGTGGAGTATTTCAACTTTAATTGCCTTGCATGGCATTAATTTAAAGGAGCTGGCCACCGGTTGATAATATTCTGTGAAACTGTACAAATCATGTAGCAGTGGATTGTGTCTTGGAAGTTAAGAACGCTTTGAAGTTGAAATGAGATGTGTGTGCACGGTGCTCGAACAGGCAGCAGGTTTGTTTTTCATTACTAATGATAACCTAAATGCGTTTCTGAATTCTTGCCACTGCTGAAATTAAAGCCTAGTAATAATATGTCACCAGGAAAAAATTAGATTATATGAGCAACATGCACTAAGCATTGTAATTATATTATAAATATTAAAACCAATGATCTTGTTGGGATTAAAACAAATATTTAAACTGGCTACGCGTGCTATTCACGCTGTCCTCTTTATCTTGAAGTGTCATGGAAACGGATGTATGGGTCCATTTCTTAAACTGTGAAAATGATCGTTTTCAGTCTTAGATATGACTCCTCACTTTTATTTTGCTGTAGCAAAAATAATTTAGCAATCCAATTTTTTTTTTCCATTACAAGCATGTCTTTAATATCTTTTTTAATGGCAAGGAGTGCTTAGTTTAGGTAGATGTCTTTAAATTAAATTGTGGTAAAACCCCACTCGTTCAGATGGAACGGAGGTGCTAAATTAGTTATGATAAGCCGGGGTTTTAATATAAATGATGCCTGTACAGAAATACAACTTTATTTTGAATAGCGGAGTAAAGGTATGAACAAGGATTACATTAGCTGAGTTTTTAATGTAATCATTCAACATTAGAGGATGTTTTTGAAAAGAAGAGAGAGCATTTTAATTTCTTGTGCACGTCGTCCACTATTTCTCAACGTTAACTAAACAGTGTGGGAAATAAAGCAACTTAATAGACCTCAACAGACATCCCTTGGGTACCACGGCAGAGATTCACAAGCTGGCCCTTGAGGCACAGCACCCGGAAATCAGGATGCTCTTTAAGGAGCAGGAAGTATCAGTAAATGAAGCTTAAAATAATTAAGTACATAATTCAGTTGCCACCTTTTACTAGATTTTGGCATAAACCAATCAGGAGCCAAAGGTTAAAGTGAAGCTACAAAAAAGACTTAGACTTTTGTTCTTGTATTTTAACCCAATAACATGATATTTTTTCTGCGCCTTCTTTGCGGGTGGGGGGAGACGGGGATTGGGAACATAAGTATTCAGTATAAGCAGTGGGACCCCAATTCCTAAATACCACAGAATTACTGTTTGAGACCCTCTCCCAAGAAGATAGAACCACTTGGTTTATGTGTCTGTCAGAGCTAAGCCATTAATTGCATTGTAGTTTCACATACGAAACTTTTGTCTTAAATTAGGGATCTTGATTATTGGAAATGTGAATGAGAAAGATTTCTCGTTGGGATTGGGGCAAGAATGAACTTTCTGATTGACTACATCCTCAGTCGTGGGTGTGACAGGCCAGGTGGCAGGAAGAGGGAAAAGAGGAGGCAGAGAGAATTGGAGTAGCTCTGCCGGCTCGACTCCCCACCTGTGGCTCTGGAAGGGTTTTAAGTTAGATGTCTGTTCCCCTGTGGAGGGCTTTGGCAGGTGACAGAATCGCATATTGCTCACTACAAAATGCTATCTTCTGAAAGACTTTTAGAAATTAGAAGATAAAAATGTTAGTGACACCAAAACCAAAGACAACAAAAGCAAAAATAAACAAGCGGGAACTACATCAAACTAAAAAGCTCTGCACAGCAAAGGAAAACATCAACAAAATGAAAAGGCCAACTAGCAAATGGGAAAAAAATATTCGAAAATCATATATCTAATAAAAACTTAATATCCAAAATATAAAAAGAATTGCACAAGTCAATAGCAAGCAAGGAAACAAACAATCTGATTAAAAAATGGGCAGAAGACCTGAATGGACATTTCTAAAGAAGATATCTGGATGGCCAGGAGGTATATTAAAAGGTGCTCAGCATCACCAGTCATCAGGGAAATGTAAACTAAAATCAGAATGAGTCATCACCTCACACCTGTAAGACTGGCCATCATCAAAAAGACAAGAGATAACAAATGTTGGAGAGGATGTGGAGAAAAGAGAACCCTTGTGCACTTTTGGGGGGAATGTAAATTGGTGCAGCCACTATGGAAAACAGTATGGAGGTTCCTCAAAAAATTAAAATTACTCTATGATCCAGCATTAAAATTTCTGAATATATAGCCAGAGGAAATGAAAATAGGACATCAAAGAGATCGTCTGCACTCCCGTGTTCACTGCAGCATGATTCACACGAGCCAAGACGTGGGAACAACCTAAGTCTCTGGCCGTGGATGAATGGATAAAGGAGATGTGGGGTAGATGTACAATGGAATATTATTCGACCATGAGAAGGAAGGACTTCTGCCGTTGTGACAATATGGGTGGACTTCGAGGGCATTATGTGCAGTGAAATAAAGCAGACAAAGAAAAACACCGCATGGTATCACATATATGTGCAATCTAAAAAAAAAAAAAAAAAAT